ACAACCCCAGAACCTCCTCCCCGAGCAGAGCCACCCATCGGGACAACTCCAGAGCCTCCTCTCCCAGCAGAACCTCCTCTCCCAGCAGAACCACCCAGCGGGACACCCCCAGAGCCTCCCGTGCTCACCGAGACACCCCCAGAACTTCTCCCAACAAAGCCACCCAGAGGGACAACTCCAGAACTTCCTGTGCCCAACGGGACAATCCCAGAGCTTCTTCTCCCAACAGAACCACCCAGAAGGAAAGCTCTAGAACCTTCTGTGCCCAATGGGACAACCCCAGAACCTCCTCCCCCAGCAGAACCACCCAGCGGGACACCCCCAGAACCTCCTCCGTCCAACAGAACGCCCCCAGAATCTCTCCTGCCCAACGAGCCAACCCCAAAGCCTCCTGTACCAGGTGGGAGCACCTCAGGAGCACCTGCACCCAGCGGGACTCCCCACACTCCTCCTTCGTTCAGCGGGACGGCCCTGGGACTCCCAGCTTTCAGACCAGTATCCCAGAGGACAACCCGGGACCACCATCTCCCTGCCGCTCCACTCAGAGAAACAGTCCCGGGAACCCTTCTCCCCACCGCACCAACAGAGACATCCCCTGGGCTTCCTTCCCACTCCGGCCAACTCAGAGTGACGGCCCCCGATCCTCTTCTCCATCCCGCTCCAAGCAAAGTGAGGTGCCCTGGGCATCCGTGTCCCTCCGGCCAACCCAAGGTGGCAGGCCTCAGACCTCCTCTCCCTCCAGACCAGCCCAGCGGGACCCACCCCAGACTTCTGCTGGCCCCTCCCAGCACACCTTGCCCTCGGGGGCCACCTGTTCTACCCACGATCCCGGCCACCTCAGTGCCTGGCGCATGTCCTCGCCTCTGTACCCTGGGGCCCGTGGGGCGCCCCAGTTCTCTTCTGGGCCCTTCCAGCCAACATGTGCCGTGTGCATAGGACACCGCGATGCCCCTCGAGCCTCTTCACCGCCCCGCTATTTGCAGCACGACCCCTTCCCCTTCTTCCCAGACCCCCAAGCCTCTGAGATGGAGTTGCCCCACCATGACCCGCCCCCCCTGCCACCCGCTGTGTGCATTGGCCACCGCGATGCCCCCTGGGCATCCGCGCCCCCTCGCCACACCCAGTACGACCCCTTCCCCTTCCTCCCAGACACATCAGATACCGAAAACGAAAACGAGCCCCCGCACCACGACCCTCCTCAGTTGCCCCCACCTGTGTGCATTGGGCACCGGGATGCGCCTCGGGCCTCCTCCCCGCCACGCCAGTTCCCGGAGCCCTCCTTCCTGCTCCAGGATTACCCCAGGGCCAGCACCGAGAGCCTCGTCCCTTCCACGGACTCTCTGCCCGAGCCCCCGCACAGGCCCGCCCCCGTGTGCATCGGCCATCGGGATGCCCCCTCCTTCTCCTCGCCGCCGCGCCAGGCCCCCGAGCCCTCCCTGTGCTTCCAGGACCCCCCCGGGGCTAGTATGGAGAGTCTGGCCCCCTCCACCGACTCCCTGCGCGGCTCCCCCCTGCTGCCCCCACAAGTGTGCATTGGCCACCGAGATGCACCCCGAGCGTCCTCCCCTCCCCGACACCCACCCAGCGACCTGGCGCTCCTAGCGCCGTCACCTCCCCCTGGCAGCTCAGGAGGCTCCCGGGGCTCGGCAGCCCCCTGGGAAACCAGGCACAATTTGGAAAGGGAGGAGTACACCGTGCTGGCTGACCTGCCCCCGCCCAGGAGGCTGGCCCAGAGGGAGCCAGGACCCCAGGCACAGGGCAGCGACGGGGGCCGCACCCGCAGCCCTGGCCGCGCAGAGGTGGAGCGCCTCTTCGGGCAGGAGCGCAGGTGAGCCCTGGGTGGGCAGTGGCGTCCAGGGGGCCTGCGGGAGGTGGAGCGCAAGGCAGGTGGACTCAGGGTGATGTTGCCAGAAGCAAGGGTCCAGTCCTTCTGCTTTGCTGTCCACTGGCTGAGTGACCTTGGGCAAGGCACTTTATCTCTGTTTTTGCATGTAGACTAGAGTCAGGCAGGCTGGGTTCAAATCCAGAGTCCAAGCCACTCACATCCTGTGTGACCTGCTAACATGAGTTCACCCATGTGAGCCTCAGTTTCCTCTTCTGTCAAAGGAGGGAGAGCAATAGCACATTTATTTAATGAAATTAAATTCTCAGAACTTTTGTTTGACCCATAGTCAGGGATGTTTTATTTATTTATATATTTTTCTCTCTTGCATGGGAAAGAACATGATTCTTTTCTGACGGAACAAAGAAAACTCACAGGCCCTTTTGCAATTCCAAAAACAGAGATGTTCATTTAAAATGTACAGCCAGAGCCATGTATTTTATCTTATTTATTTGGCAGTGTTGGGGATGCAACCTGGGGCCACACCCCCAACCAGAAGCCCCGAGTTTTAAATAAGTGACCTCACAGACTGGCAGGGTTAGGGTCAGGGTTAGAGTTAGGGTCAGAGGTTACATATGATTTTCCTGGGACATAATGCTAATGCCTGGAGTCCAGGTGTGAACCTCCTTGGTCAGCCATAGCCCAGAGACTCTGAAATCTTTAAACCAAGTTAACTTTCAACTTTCAACTGGTGCCAGAAGGGGAACTGTCCCCCTCATTAGGTGGCTGAGATTTCCTTCCCAGCAGTGCTGGCTGCGGAGTTTTCAAGGCCCAGAGCTAGAATTCCATTAGTTGAGGTCAAGGAGATTAGGGGGAGGAAAGCAGGTCTGAAGCTCAGAACTTCCAGTGAAGTTTAGCATATTTACCAAGTTGTAGGGCCATCACCACAGCCTAGTTTAAAACATATCCCACTCCCTAAATACCTATTTTTTTTTTAATGGACACAACACAATGTCTTTATTTTTATGTGGTGCTGAGGATCCAACCCGGGTCCCGCCTGTGCTAGGCGAGCGCTCTACCATATTATTTAGGTAATATTTGGTGCTTAAAATTCCTCTTTGCTGTCCCTGAGACATTTCTCTGAGATCTGAACCTGCACAAGAAACCTTATCTCTTATTCTTCAAATTTCCTTTTCCAGTACACTTGATCCATTTGATATCCAAGTGACAACCTTTGGGGACTCCAGCATTGGTGTCATTCCTTCTTTGGCATTTATTTATTTGTTTATTTATTTATTTATTTTTGGTACTGTAATTGAACCCAGGGGCACTTTACCACCTCCTCACCTCTTTTAAATTTTTAATTTTGAAACAGGGTCTTGATAAGTTGCTTAGGGCCTCACTAATTTGCCGAGGCTGGTCTTGAACCTGCAATCCTCCTGCCTCAGTCTCCCAATTCGCTGGGATTACAGACATGTGCCACTGTGCCCAACTGATGCCAATTTGTATACCTCTGTTTTATTGAAAATTCAACAGAGACACTGAAATATTTTTATTTTTATTTTTTTAGTTGTAGGTGGACACAATACCTTTATTTTTTATTTATGTGGTCCTGAGGATCGAACCCAGGGCCTCACACTTGTGAGACAAGTGCTCTACCACTGAGCCACAACCATAGCCCAGAGACTCTGAAATCTTTAAACCAAGTTAACTTTCAAATTTGTTCCCCCCGAAATGACTTTTGGAGAGAGAAAGGGGTTTATAACAGAAATCAGGGATTTGTTTGCCCTTTTATTAACAGTTTAGTTATTCTTGTACAGTCTTACATATTTTATTCTGCTCCTCTTCAAAGTAGATTATTTACCTTTTGGTCAAAGTTTCATAACTCTTCTGGGTAAAATTTCCCCTTATGTGGCACTTTTCCACAGGGAATGCCAATTGTCTTCTGAAGACAAATTAAAAAAAAAATTTGTAGGTAGATGGATAGAATTGTTTTATTTTATTGGTGCTAAGGCTCAAACCCAGTGCCTCATACACGCTAGGCAAGCACTTTGCCACTGAGCTTCAGCCCCAGCCCCTGAAGACAAATTTTTAGACTATGCATTTGTGTGAGGGACAGACTGGAAGTTATGAGTGGGTGGGTGGCGGTAGAGTAGTACTTCTATTGTCTCCCATTCATCCATCCTGCCGTGTTTATTGAGCATCTACTCTGTCTAAGCATTGTTCTGAGCCTGGAACGTTTTTCTGGAAGGGCTATCACATCAAAGCATCAGGAGTTTTAGTTTGATATCTTGACCTTTTTTTCTTTAGATACCTTTGGAATCTTTTCTTTTAGAACCATATGTGTGTTTTGCTGTCACCTGAATTTAAAACAGAGCCTTTCTTCTCTGTGCTAGACTTCATGACTTGGAAGTCGATGAGCCCATTTATGCTTCCAAAGGAAACTTTTTAGTCCTCCTCCTTGTGGCCACACCAGCCCTCAGGAACAGGGGCCCCTCTGATAAGGAAAGCTGGGTCTCTGTAGGGGCCTCAGAGTGTTCTAGAATCCCTAGGTCCTTCTCAGTGTCTCACGGGGAAGAAAGAAGAATTCCCGGAAGGAGTGCCCATCTAGCAAGTGAAGTTTGGGAAATGCACACTGGGGAGAGAAGGCAGCTCTGCCCTGCTCCCTGGTGTGGCATTTCCTATCCTGCTCCCCTCCCTCCCAGGAGGGAGCCGCATCCACCAGTCACGCCTGGGGCTTTGCTTCACGGAGCCGCCAGACCTCAGTTCTAGAGAAAACTCCCCTTTATGGCTCTCAAGGAGAAAGGAAAGTCATGCACCTCCAATTACATTAAAAAGTGAACCTGATGAGGAGCGCCCCAGCTTACAAGCTCTCCAGGGGACCTGGGCTCTTCTCTGTGTGAGCTGCTAAGAACTGCAGAAAACTCAAACCACAGCCTGGGCACAGCTCGGTGGGAGGGCGCGTGTATTCTAACCCAAATTGCTCTGTGGATCTGGTTCTAATGACGCTGGCAAAAGCCACGTGACCAGCAAACCCCAACTGCACTTTTTTAGACTCTGCAAAACCCCTGCCGCTCTCCCAGGCTTCTTCAGCAGGCTGCAGGGCGGCTCCCAGGGAGGCCCGCTTCCTCTCCCCTCCCTTTTCACTCTAGGCTCATCCTTTTCAGGCCTCTCCTCCCAGTTCAGCTCACTCTCCAGAGACATGACTCCAATCATCAATTTATTTTCATTATTTATTTTTGAGATGCTGGGGATTGAACCCAGGGCCTCAAACATGCTAAATACATGCTTTGCCACTGAGCCACCCCGTCCCCACCCACTCCCTCTCTGCTTGCCAATTTAAATGAAGTCAGACTCTCAAACCCCATGAAAATATTCATGGAGTGGCTGGGTCTACAGAGGTGACCTCCTTACTAAGGGAGGGGACAAATGTGCCCAGAGTCTGCTTGATGTTCTTACTTTTCAATGCTCAAAAACTGTTTGCTTAAACATTGTGTGCACAGTGCCTGGTACACAATAGGTGCTCAGTAAACCTGAATTCCCACAAGGGCCAGTCTACCTTTGTTAGAGTGGCTGGTGGACTGTTGGGCAGCACGACACAGGAGAGACGTGGCCCAGGCCTGACCCTGCTTCTCTCCTGGCAGAGTAGGGTGGTACTGCCCAGCCCCATTTCTCAGAAGGGGAGACTGAGGCCAGAGAAGGTCAACCCTCATTTAGGGCTGTCATGGGTCTCTGGACCCCCCACATCTCCTCCCGCTGGGTGGGAGGGGAGGGGCTGGGGCACTGAGGGTGGAACGGCCCTGAAGGCCTCAGGAGCAACTGCATTCGCTCCTAGGAAGTCCGAGGCACCAGGGGCCTTCCAGGCTCGGGATGAGGGATGGTCGCAGCGGCCCAGCCAAAGTCAAAGCCAGCTTCACCGAAGACATTCCAGCCCCATCCCCAGCAGGCAGGTGAGCACTGCCAGCCGTCGCGTCCCAGGGGCAGTCACTGCCTCCTCCTCCCACTCCTTGCAAGGCAGGGTCCTGGGCAGGGCAGTCCTCTGTGAAATGGTCAGGTCCCAGTCACGGGTGTCCAGGCCTCCTCCCTCCTCAGGGGCCAGAAGCTCTCGGTAAAATGTAAAGGACCCAAATTAGTCTTTGCCAACAGCCCTTGGGTGCTGGCCCTTTCTTCTTTAGCTCCCTGCTGTTTGGAGAAGGTTGGGCTGCACCGCCCACCGTCCAGGGTGGGGATTGTGTTTCCCAAGAAGCTCGAAGAGGGCGAGGCCCACCCCAGTGGAACTGGGGATTGGTGGTGGAAATTCCGGCACCCGATAGCCCAGGGTGGAATCGGTGTCTCGGGGAAGGGGGAGCCCGGGGAGCCGGGGAGTGAGCAGCTTCTGCACGCCCCTCTCTGGAACTGGGGACATGGGTGGGAGGGCAGAGCTGACCCCCTGGAGGGGAAGAACCCCAGAGGCCTTGGCTCATTCAGTCTGCTCCATCCAAGCCACTGTGAGGACATAGCCGACTGTCCCGGGCCCGGCCAAGACAGACAGTGGCCACTCAGCCCAGTCCCGGGAGCCTCACCCGCCTCCTACCTGTTCCTCAGGTGACCAAGCTCCCTGCCAAGCAGCCAGAACCAGCCGCCCATCGGAGCAGAGCAGAGCCCCCTGGGTCCCGGAGTCTTGAGAGGCGGCCTGAGGGTAACCGGCGACTCCAGGCCCCCTCACCGCCCTCCAGGACATCAGCCAGACCCCCTGAGAGGGAGCCACGGACTGAGAGACCTGCTAAAGGAAGCCGAGCAGACTCCCAGCAGCCTCTGGGGGGGTGGCAGAGTCAGGAGGAGCTTACGGGGTCCCAGGGCTCTCACAGACACTTGGAAAGAAGTTGGAGCAACCACGAGAAAGGCCCAGGGCCTGAGGGCTGGCCAGGACTTGGGGAGCCCAGCCTGGGGGCTGCCAGAACCCTGGAGGGAACATGGAGAGGCCTTCCCAGGGAGTACAGGGACAGCTGGGGGCAGTCAGAGGCCTGGAAG